TGTGTTACTCATAGCTCTTGGTGGTGGGAGATGCTGCCTCCTGCTATGGCCAGTGGCTCTTTATTTGTCAGAAAGGAACAGATGAGTGTCTTGAAGCATCAGTCTGCTTATAGCTGTGTGGTGGGAGAGTTGATGGTTCAGGAAGGGTAGAGTTGAGGCAGGAGTAAGGGCAAATGGCATGGGCATGTTTCAGTCTGGGAAAGGTGACATCTCCTCCTGGGAGTGACAGGGAAACAGGTCTGATGAGCAAAATGAGATGCCAATGGTGTTTGCCCTGTAACTGCAAAATGGAAATGAAATCCAGTCAAAAAGCACTAAGTGGGCATTATTTGTTACTGGTTTCGCTTCAGTTCTTTTAACCTTTGCTAAGACGTGGGTTGTCAGCAGGTACCTGCATGAAAAAACTGCCCTGAAACAGGAGCCAACCAGAAGGGAAACCATTTCATTATTGCTCAGTGGATTTTGCTGAAAACAAATCTGCAAAGGCTTGGTTTGTTGCCCAGTACAGTCTTCTCAGGTGGATTAGTTTTCCCCTGGGCAGCAGAACTCAGTGGCTGTATTTTCAAGCTCGCTGCTGGGAGGATGCTTGGAGGGGCTGCAGGGAATGCAGGAGAGGTAGCGTGGATTCTTCCCACATGCAGGGGATTGAGTGGACCGACAATGAAGGAGGCAAGTGTCCAAGTGTCGTCTGGGCTTATCTCACCCGGGCATCTGCTCACAATTCAACACTTGTAGTCATTGTGCCAGCTGGCAGGACAGTTTTCCTGATGTAAATTATCCATCCGTTCTGAGGGGCCTGAATACAAGGAGACCTTTTGTGCGCAGGGACGAATTCCTGACTTGGGGGGAAAGGGAGGAATTTGTAAAGATCTAAATGGCATTTGCTTACATTTTTCTGGTCTATCTTTACGGTTTTCAGCATGGTGTGTTTCCTGGTGGACCTTGGGATACACAATTGGGCAATAACCCTGCTGAGGAAGGGCTGTAGTTGCTGGTGGCAGCATCTGGTCAAGCCTGACAATGTGAGCAGGTTGTTGGGGGAAGCATCCCCTGAATCAAACAACTCTAAATGTTTCCAAAGCTGCTGCTGCTGCCTCTCCAGACAGCCAGGACTTGCTCTGTTGAATCCATAATTGCAATACTGTCTTGAAGGCTTATAGATGTGCTTGCTTATTGTAGAGAAAGACATTAAAAGTTTTTTCTACGTCAGACTGAATTGCCAGAAGAGGCTGGTTATCTTGTCACCTTGTCACTTGCTGGTGAGCAGCTTCATGCCTTGGAAAAGATGCAGTTTTAAAATGCACAGCTCATGATTTTGAGCTCTGAACACTTTAAAGACAAGTCAGGTTGTGCTCGTGGTCACTGATTGCAGCATGTGGAGTTCTTCCTGCAAAACAGATCTGCCACTTCTCAGTACACAGAGGGAAATATTATCTGACATTTGACACTATCAGACACTTCTAAGTCAAACCGAGATCAAAATAATTACCAGCTTCTAGGAACAGGAGAACAATGACTTTTTGTCTTCTACACGAAATGTTTAAATGTTTAAACATTTAAATGTTTAAAACTGCCTTTCACCTGGTTATTGCTGTCACCATTTCTCAGCGTAATAGCTGCATATGTTTATTCAGCTCTGCAAGACTTGAAAGCAGCCTGGACTGCTTATCTTTGCTAGAAAAAGGCTCTGGAACCTCGAAGAGCTGCCAGGCTGCTAAGCACAGATTTTGTGTTCAGTGTGAACAGTGGGGAAACGTTTATTTCCACAGTGTGTCAGCTGGTCTTGGGTAAACCCCATTGTCCCAGCAGTATTTACCCACGGCGAGCTGCTCCGACCGCTGTCTGTGCATTAACTGCATTCCTCTGTAATGCCATTAACTGCACTTCCCAAGGAGTTACGTTCCCAGCTGCCATAAATGTCTTTTTCACCTGGATTGCTCAGTCGGGGGGGGGTTTGAACGTGTTTTCCTTGGCCTGTCGTGTAAAACTGGAGGTGAAAAAGGGAGGGTCCTTCACCGTTTAGCACAAGGAGTTCCTGTGAAGAACGTTTTCATGCTGCCCAGAGTGCAGCTGGCATGTGTTGTGCCTTTAGCTGAGCTGGGATTTTTGCAAGGAGCTGTGGGAGACCTTGTCTGGGAACACGGATTGTAATCCAGTTGTAGTGGAGCGGGATAAAAAGAGTTCTTTTCCGGGACATGCAGGCTGTGACCCAGCCTTTGGGCTAGAGCTGAAAGCTGTGTGTGAGGGAGAGCACGCGCCCGGCCCCCCCTTCATTCCCAGGATTCTTTTGAAGCATTTCCTCCCCAAAACCATCTTGATGAAGCCTAAACATGGGGGTTTTGCTTCACACCAGAGGAATGCAGTACTAGTGGAGGAAAACTAACCACTCCAAGTCAAAGGAGCAGGATATTCCTGACAATTCAGCTGACACAGCTTAATGGAGCGTTCTTCATTCTGTTGGCTCTGGCTTATTTTTTTTCCCCTCTTAACTCATGGAATGGCTGCTCTTGCCTGATGTCTTCGTTATTTTCACTTGTTGTGAAACTTGCCCAGAGAAATCCCACCAGAGCAGACTTTCAGCCTTATATTTTGCTTTATTTTAGCATGTGAGCTCAAAGAAAACTTTCTCATTAAGCTGTTGACAGTTTAACTGTTGATAAAACCATGATAGTAGGTCTGGTTTTTAGTTGCTGCCCATACAAGGTGTTGGGATAGGCTGGCAAAGTTGCAGGTCAACATGTACCCTGGGGGTTTCCTGCAGAAGAATGAGGAGGCATTTGTTTCTAGAGCTCCTTGCCTTTTCCTGGAAAAGATGGGGAGTAAATCCTGGATTTGTTTGGGATTTCTTTTTCATGGACCTGAAGAAGATATTTGTGCATGTCCAGCCTGTTGGCTTCTGTCATTTTTGAGTTTCTGCGTCTGCATGTTCTTTGCCTCTGAAGCATATTTTGCCTTCGGTGAGCAGCTCTCTTTTTGAGAAGAGACCATGTAGCAGGAGAAATAGGAGACCTGGGAGGAAGCACATGATGCCTGCTTCTTGCCTTGCACTGAGATTCATGAGAAAAATACTCCCAAATCCATGGAACAGGATTAATCCCTTGCACCAGGCAGCAAAGGGAGGATATTGCCTAAGCTACGTTAGTGCTGAGTGTTGATCCTTTGGAGTTTCGAACCTTTGTGGAAAGTGCCAGTTTGGCATTAATGCTGTGATTGCTTCTTGCTTGTCTTCTGTGTGTAAGAAGATCTCATTAAATAATCAACCCCAAACCAACAGTGAGCAAGTACTGAGCAAGAGCCACAGATTGTGAATGGTCTGGCTTCCAGTCTTGTGCTTAGGTCATCTGTAACCATGCACAAGATATAAATAGGGAAGGGTGTTCTGTGGGAAGTACTGGGGGGTTTGTATCCATCTAACACCCTAGCTGTCCTGTATGTCACACACAGACAGTACTTATTGATGGGTGGCTCTAAACACAAGATTGGTCTCTTTCTATCCTTGGGACAGGTAGTTTTTCAGGTGCTGTATGTCTTGATTTTTACTTTATTTTTTTTCCCGGCACACTGATTTCTGGACCCTTTGCAGTGCTTCTCCTGCTGCTTTGGTTCCTCGTGCCAGCCAGGCTGTGGGTGTGACATGCCTAGTCCCAATCTGGTGCACGACCTGGTTCCCTGCCGGCGGGCTGTGCGTGTGTGCCTGGAGGGGCAAGCTGTTCTCCTTGCCTGGTGCCCTCACGTCTGCTCTCACAAACACTTCAGCAGGGGCAAAGCCTCATGTTAAAATTTAACATGGCGGACTTCATTCATTTTACAAGCTGAGGTTAAATCCTTGTGACTCCTACAAGCTGAAAAAACCTGTTTCTCAATCAGCTGAAACTCTTCTAATAGCCTTTTTTTTTTTTTCTTTGAACCAGTGATGGCTTCAAGTTCTGCTTAGAGCAGTGTTTTTCTTGGAAGTGGTGGGAGCATAAAAGAGCGTGGCAGGGACTAAACACCCGAGGTTTTATTCCAAACAAACCTCACGTTGTTTTAGCAAGCTCCCTACGTGCTCTGGGGTGTCCTGATGGTACAGTCTGTTTGCCGAGGTGGAGCAAGAACAGCTGGCACACAGCTGTATGCCTCCTCCTGGGAACGTGCCCCTCCTCCAGCGGGAATGGTGGAGGAAGGTGGCTGAAGTGTGCTCTGGCTCTTGTCTCCTAAGGGGTTTTCTCAGGGCTGTGAGTCCCCTGGGCAGTTGGGGGTAGATGCTCAAGTCACTGGAGAAGAATCCATGAGGGAGAACAATGTGTTGACTTCTACAAGCCTGTTAGGGCAGGGAGGGCAGGGAGGTGCCTAGGAAACAGAGAACGTGGCTGGGTTGTAAATCATGGCACTCTGATCCAAAATGTGTCTTGATGACTTGAAATATACAGTCTGGGAAACTTAAACTTCGTTTTGGTTTTCCAGTGAGTAGAAGAGGTGTGTACTCAGTAATTCAGTGCTGGAAGAAAGGCTTTGTGAGTAATAGAATGAGTTTGAGATATTGTTTATTTTGGGAGGAAGCAGAGGTACAAGCCAGACTCTACAGTGTGACTTTTACCTCTCTGGTTAATACTGTTTCTTTCATACGTGTATTTGGAAGAAATACCATCAAATGCCATCATTAACTTGGGGCCTGGCCTTGGATACTCACAAACTGTTTGTGGGTTTGATGTAGTCTGTCATCTGTTGGGGTAAGGACACTGCTGGGGGTGTCTGCAGGAGAGAACCACACCTTGTGACGTGTGTTTGGTTGCACAGGAGTCCGTAGGTCTGTTTATTTCTCTGTTCAATCTGCCCTCAACTTCTACCTTCTCTTCCTTCACCTTGTCTTTGCGGGGCGATTCAGTACTGGGCTGGAAGAGCTACTCCTGGTGTTCTGGATAGCGCCAGGAGATGTTTCTCCAAAGAGAGAATTGCAGTGCAGCTCTTTCCATTCTTTCCAAGTCCGAGTCTTTCTCACGCCCGTGTCCTCTCACCCGCAGGGAAGGCCTTTGACATCACATACGTGCGCCTGAAGTTCCACACGAGCCGGCCGGAGAGCTTTGCCATCTACAAGCGCACGCGGGAGGACGGCCCGTGGGTGCCCTACCAGTACTACAGCGGCTCCTGCGAGAGCACCTACCACAAAGTCAACCGCGGCTTCATCCGCACCGGGGAGGACGAGCAGCAGGCGCTCTGCACCGACGAGTTCAGCGACATCTCCCCCCTCACCGGGGGCAACGTGGCCTTCTCAACGCTGGAGGGGCGTCCCAGCGCCTACAACTTCGACAACAGCCCTGTGCTGCAGGTGTGTGAGCAGGGCCGAGGTGGGCGGGTGGGCTGAGCGGGCTGGTTTTATGTGTAGTCGTCGTGGATGGTGGCTTTGTGCCTGCTGGGCTGCACTGCAGCCCTTACTCTCGGTGAAAGGCCCTTGCACGGGTAGGTTGGGACAGACATTCCTAAGAGGCGCTTTTGAGCTCTCGACTCCATTGTTAGTAAGTTTGTGGTACAGGAAGCAAAACTGGTGGCACTAAGGTTGATTTGTCACTAGGCATCATGGAAGTGTTCAGAGGATGGATACAAATCTCTACCTGCTTAGAAAGCAGCTGTGGACATTTGTTTCAGATACAAGGACAGAGGAAGGTAAAGCCTCTGTTCAATTTATATTTGAGGCACCTTGTGTGTATATTTCGAGTAGAAAAAATTAAGAAATATGAGATTCTTCTAAACAAATGAAGCATTACAAGAATCCCTGACCTGTTCTCTTACATGTGTGTTGAAGCAGAGCTTCATTCAAGCAGAGCTTGATTTTATCCACAGAATTTTTCTCTTACAAGTGGCTTGGCAAGAGGGGTTTGGCTGAGTTTTTTTGTTGTTCACAGTGGTGGTTGGGCAGTGGGCAGGAACATACTGGAGCAGCAGTTTATCTGATTTACTTGCCACTTTCTGTATTCTGCTTGGTGACTTCCCCAACTTAAATTGTAACAAGGAGCTAAAGCCGTGGGATTTGCACCGTTGGGGCTCCTTGTCTTCCTTTCAGAGCTGTGTTTGCCACCACCTCCCTTTCCTCTTAGAGTAGCAGGAGCAGACTGAGATGTGAGCACCCAGCAGGCTCGGGGCTCGCCTGTCTAGTCCCCAGGCAGGAGAGCAGAATCTGGTGGGTCTCTCTTCTGCAAACAGAAATAAAGATTAATGGGAAAGGAAGAACTCCAGAAATGGAAAAGAACCAGTTTGGCCACCTCGTTCGTGCAGCCAACCCCTGCAGAACACCGTGTCTTATCGTTACGGTGAACATGGAGATTTCAACTTAGCGATGTGTGTAATTTTCTGATAGACTTCTCTATTATAGGAATAGAGACCTGACTGCCAGTTTCCTAAAGTTTGTACAAACCTCTGGTGTTGCTTTTCAGAACTGAAGCAAATGTGTCTTTTGTGCTTGGCATTTCCACATGTGTATTCCAGTGTTTGTAACTCGCTCAATCTTATCATAGTGGCTGAGCAGTGATGCAGCTGCAGCACAGTTGTACGTACAATTGTGTTTTTCTTGTGTTCTCCTCTTATGGTGTTTGAAGGAAAATGGCATTACAAAGCTGTAATAAAACCAGGGAGGTGCCAGTGAGAGTCATGGGCTGAAGCTGATGTGAAATTTGGGGGCAGGCTGCGTTTGCTGGCTGTTGCTGGAGGAAGGCAGGGCAATGTGTTGAAGATGCTGTGTAAATATTATGAAAAGCTCTTGTGTTGTGATCTGCCTGTCTGTTTGTCTTCCTCAGCCTTCCCCAGCCTCATTCATCTGTCTGTCTGTGACTTTCAGTCTGGTGCAGTGTGTCTGCAGGAGCACTGCAGGCAGGCAGATACATACAATTAGCAAGCTGGCATAATTGCCTGCACTGCACTTTTTGCTGGAGAGGTTGCCCACTGCTTCCCAGCTGAGAGCAGTCAGGATGTGAAGAGGCATTGGAAAGGGTATCCAGAGAGGAGTGGGGTCCAGGAAACTCACCTGAACCAAGAGGATACAGTGTAAGGCCTCTGGGGCAGGGACGTGTGACGCCCCGAGGTGCAGAGGGGGAAAGGATGAGGAAGGAAGGTGCTGATTGATAAATGGCTTCGTTAATAGAACTGCTAATGGCACAGCACTGCTGTGCTCTCCAGAGGGAGGTTTGATGTTTCCTCTGATGGGATTTCTGTCTGCTCTAGGAATGGGTGACAGCTACAGATATTAGAGTGACCCTCAATCGTCTGAACACATTTGGAGATGAAGTTTTCAATGACCCGAAAGTTCTCAAGTCTTACTACTATGCAATTTCTGACTTTGCTGTGGGTGGTAGGTGAGTAGACAATAAACTCTGTACTTACTTAAAGCTTTTGGTCAGGATTATTAGACTGCTTTAAAGATTCTGGTTATATTCACATGATACCATTAGGCTCTGGTCTTTATTGACTGTCCTAAACCAAAAATGCAGTAGAATGAATTTTATGTAGCTTGCAGATACTGTGCATAAGCTTTTGTGGCTGTAATTTCAGGGCTGACAGACACTGAATATTTTTTTTCCTTGATTAGATGAAATATTAAGTGATTTGGGAGGGTGGAGATTGAAAATAGTAACAAAAATATAAAACAAAAGAAGAAATTTTTTCCTGCCCTGCGCTTTGTGTGATTTTTTTTAATTGGTTTTAATTGTTTTCTGCCTGTATCTGTAGCTAGAAGAACAATAAGTAGAAAATCTCAATGTCTCTGCCTCACATTTGTTTTGGGAGCTATCTCCTGTGAAGATCTGGAGCGCTGTGTGACACAGCTGTGGTTGTCCATTCCTTTTGCCAAAGCCTACTGCAGAATGTTTAAACCTTAAGTAGTTGATGATAAAATGTTTTAATAAATAGAGCTGAGACCAGTGCAGTGTTTGGACTGTTTGCAGAGACCAGTCCTGAGCCTGGGATTTGGCCACGTGGGGATTTGTACTGGCTGTACCACCAGTCTTGGAGGTCCCTGGACTTCTGTTATTAGTCACCTCTGTGCTATTTAATTTCTTACTGATACCACAGTAGCCTACACCCAGCGAGCACACTGTGTTCTGGACTCTCACCAGGGAGAAGCTGTGCAAAATTTATTAACCTAAAGCCAACCAAATCTTTGCTTCTCCTACTCAGCTTACTCTGAAGACTGCAAAGGAATTGGTTAACTTTCTCCCATTTCTAAATGCCTACCTGGAGTGTGCTGCACCTCTTTGTTTTATAGAATGGTTTGGTTTGGAAGGGACCTTCAGAGACCATCCAGCCCCCATCTTGGGCAGGGACACCTTCCACTAGCCCAGGTTGCTCCAAGTCCCATCCAACCTGGTCTTGAACACTTCCAGGGATGGGGCAGCCAGAGTTCTTCTGGAAACCTCTGCCAGTGCCTCACCACCCTCATTGCAGAACATTCCTTCCTTATGTCCGATCTCAAACCACTCTCTTTGAGTTTAAAATTATTGCCCCTTGTCCCATCACTACAGGACCTAGTAAAAAGTCTCTCTCCGTCTTGTAAACCCCCTTCAGATACTGGAAGGCCTCCATAAGATTTCCCTGGAGTCTCCTTGTCTCGAGGCTGAACAACAGCGGTTGGGTTCTCACTTTTCTTGTGACCACCTACCTTTGAATTCATCTCAGACCTTCAGATCCAGTCTGTGTTTTGGGGGTTGCTCAGTGAGTGACCTGGATCCGTAGATTTTAAATACCTGTTCCTTGCCTCTTGTTGACCAGGTGCAAATGCAATGGGCACGCGAGCGAGTGCGTGAAGAACGAGCTTGGGAAGTTGGTCTGCAACTGCAAGCACAACACCTTTGGGGTGGACTGTGAAAAGTGCCTTCCTTTCTTCAACGACCGTCCATGGAGGAGAGCGACAGCAGAGAGTGCCAACGAGTGCCTGCGTACGTGTGGCCACCCTTCAGGGGACAGGCTGCAGGGGCTGTGTCCCCTGCCTCTGCTGGGGGACAGAGGCTGGCCCTGCATGGTTGGAGTTACCTCAGTTGCAGTCAGTCAGTGTTAAGCACAGTTAATGGGACTGTTAGTCATTCCAGTCCTATCCTGTAGGAGCTTTCCGGTAGATCCCTGGGAAGGGGCATCTCCTTTCTGGAGATGGATGGGAGCAACATTTAGGGAAGAGGTGTGCTGCAAAAATGTAGAGTCTTGTACTTCATAGGACCCACAGAAAAGAAATGTGTATTTAGTATGCTGGAGTATAACTGCCCTTCCAAAAGCTCCTCATTTAGCGTCTGCTGACTTGCCTTTGTACTTGGGTTATTGGTTTTTACAGTTAATTGTTAACTGTTGGTTGTCAACTGTTTCATCCCATTTCGAGGCTGTTGCAGCAGTTCTGGACTGAAAATGCAGCTCTCTGTCATGGAACACCAGTTTGCTTGGGTTTGTGTCCCAGACCACAGCTCCTGGTAGTTTACTTTATGGGGAAGCTTTTTCAGACAGAAAAGCTTTCTTCCTGTCTGACCTCTGTGTGTCTTGATCGGTCCCAGCTGTCTGGTCAAGACCTTGGTCTTCCCCTCGACAGGCTGGTGAAACTGTGTTGTCCTGCTGCCTAGACAGATGGGATTTGCAATCCAGGGGAGAAACTCTCCTTACAGCATGGAGTAGCCTCGCTGTTGCCTTCTCATGCTTGTTTGGATGATGGAGATTGGTGTTGCTGTGTGGGAGGGCAGCATTTTGGCTGCAAATGGCAGCCTGATGTGCGAGGGAATGGAGTAGGAAGTGCTGGTTTTCTTCTGGATGTAGATGAGAACCCTCTCGAGTTTGTTTCATCCTTACAGCCTCGTTCAGCCACCACAAAAACACACTTCTCCCTTTTTGTCCTTATGATGCACAAACGCCCCGGGGCTCGGGGATGGTTAAAAGCTCCTCTACGACTTAGCGCTGAGCTTTGCAGGGGTTTGTGCTGTCAGGGCTGGCCGGTCACTGACGGCACCTTGTCTTTGCAGCTTGTGACTGCAACGGGAGGTCCCAGGAGTGCTACTTCGACCCCGAGCTGTACCGCTCCACGGGCCACGGCGGCCACTGCCGGGGCTGCGCCGACAACACGGACGGGCCGCACTGCGAGCGCTGCAGGGACAGCTTCTACCGCCAGGGCAGCGACCAGGGCTGCCAGCCCTGCAGCTGCAACCCCGTGGGTAAGCACTGCCTGCTGCAGGCTTCCAAGGCACAAACCCCGCCTCTTCTTTTGGCTATTTCTTGCTTTATTTTTTTCCCCTCCATATATGAAGTGTTTGTTGTGTTGCATTTTGGTTTGAGTTATCCTCGGATCTAATTGGTGTTAGATGCTTCATCCCTGCAGCACTTAGTCCTTCAAATGTATTCCAAAGGTTTGTGGTTGGTTTTTTTTTTTCACTGTGTATGTGTTGCCGTGGATGCTCCCAGTACTAAAGAACTCATTTAAATTCTTAATAACGGAGATGATGTGAGTGGATATTTCTGGAAGTTGCTCATACTGAAGAATTGTAGTGAACTTTAGCTGCTGCATCAGTTTCTCCTACTGAGTATCCAGGCACTATAAATACAAACCAGTGAGACATTAAACACAAAAGGAGTGGGGGTGAGATAAAAAAAAAGTAAACTCAAAATATGTAGTTAAACTCCTTTTTTTTAAAAAAAAAAAAGAAGGTGGGGGGGAGTTCTGGCAGGAGAACAAATCTTTTGTTGTCAAGGGAACCACTTGACCTGTAAGGAGTGATCCCATAACTACACCAGCCCACAGCAAGTAAGGGGGAAGGAGAGAAAAGGGTAACACATAGTAAGGTATGATGTGAGGTTTCAAAATAGAGGAGCTGGAATAAGTAATTGCTTGCAGCATGCCCTAAAAGCAGCCAGGGAGAGGTCTGCCAGGGTGCATCTCCTATCTAATTTGGTCAGAGAGTCGTACAGTTGTGAAATTTTTGACCAATAAAGGCCCTTTCTTCTTCTGTTTGCTCTCCCAGGTCATGTCAGACCTTATTTTAAGATGGGTGAGGGTTGGTGTCAGCTGAGACAGTCGAGAAGATACAGGGAGGTGACCTCTCAGGTCTTTAGGGACAGCTTTCAAAGGGCTTTATAAGTTAGCCATCAGCTTGTATCCCGTGGCACATTGGCACCCAGGGTGTATTTGAATCCCCTGGATATGTTTAGATTGCTATTTTTTGTCTGAGTGCTGTTTTTTCCTAAATAATCCTAAGTGGGACTGCAAAGGAGATTTGAACTTTGGCTGTATATGGTAAAGGTTTTGTGAGTTCTTCTGTCCTGTCCAACTTAATCATCTTATAAGTCTTCACTTTGCTATAATCTTCTGGTGTGGATTGAAGTGGAAACAAGCAACTATTTCTGTATATTAAAACATTTTTCTCCAGGTAGTTAACACTTGGAGTGCTGACAGCTCCAAGGCTGCCAGCTACAGGGATGCTTGGAAGAAAGCATTTTGTCCACTGTGGATTAAAGAAACCTGCTACTGCTTTTTGTGCAAGTCCACTTGGACAAAGCAGTACTGAGGAAGGTGTCTTTCCAAAATGAGAGTTTTGCTCAAGAGTGTGTTAGGGTTCATGGTGGCAGATGCAGCTTCACTCTGAGGAGGCAATTTAGTCTTTAAATCCAACTTGGGAATTGAGGGAGGAAATTGGAGCATGAAAGGAAGAGGTCAGGATATCCCCTGGCAAAGGGGAGATGGTCATTAGGGAGAACACAAGGAATTTGGGGAATAAAATATCGGAAATGGTGTGTTGCAGGATAAAACAGGCATGGAACTAGAGGCATGCAAAGGTAACAGTGAGGATGGAGCAGGAATAAGGATGAGAATGCAATTTGAAGTTAAAATTATAGTTATATATTAGAAGGCTGGTTAGTAGGAATAAAAGGCTGAGTATAGTTTGGGAAAACTAGATAACAATTCATTTGTCTAGGGGTGCCAGGGGAAAAATCCCTGTGAACTAGGGGCAGCCTTTAGGAAAGCAGTGACTCGTCAGCTTGAAGCTTCCCACTTTCTTCTCCCATATTCCTTGCCCGTTTTGTGAAGTTTCAGAGCTTGCAGGCTGATAGGGCTGTGTGTGTGTGCTGAGGTGCCTGTCCCTGCTGTCCCCGCAGGCTCCCTCAGCACACAGTGTGACAGCTACGGCCAGTGCAGCTGCAAGCCCGGCGTGATGGGGGACAAGTGTGACCGCTGCCAGCCGGGCTTCCACTCCCTCTCCGAAGCTGGGTGCAGGTAAGGGGGACTGCAGCTCTCTAAAATAGACCTGGACTCTTTTGAAAGCTTTCTCTGTGGCTCCTAATGAGTTGTCCTCTCTCCTGACTCTGGCAGGCCCTGCTCTTGCAATCCAGCTGGCAGCACAGGGGAATGCAATGTGGAGACGGGGCGGTGTGCGTGCAAGGACAACGTGGAAGGCTTCCACTGTGAGAGGTGAGTTTCTCCTCCCGTGGCTTTGTTTCAAGAATGAGAAACATTCGAGCGATGACCTGGGGTCAAGCGTCAGGGAAATGAGTTCTCTTTCCTTCATGTCTTCAGATGCAAACCTGGATTTTTCCATCTGGATTCCTCCAATCCAAGGGGCTGTACCCCCTGCTTCTGTTTTGGACACTCCTCAGTCTGCACCAGCGCTGTGGGCTACAGTATCTACAGCATCACCTCCAACTTCCAGTTTGGTAAAATTGCCTTTCTTTGTATCTCAGGTTGGGCTGTGGACTCAAGTAAGAAGCTATTAAAAAAACCCCAACTCCTTCCTTTCAAATCCTGGGCAAGCAGGTCTAGGATTCCTCCTTTGGAAGTGCTGAAGCTACGTGGAGCTTCCATGTCTGCTGCTTGTTTGTTCAGCTAGTATGAATTCACAACTCTGGCTTTGGGCAGTTATTGTACACCAGGCAGGTGCAAGTGGGAATTGCAAATACAAAGCTTTTCTAGCTTGAGAGGTGTGCTGGCAAGGGAGCATTTCCTCAGGTTTTGAACCAAATCAGGAGTTTCTGATGGAAAGGATTAAAATCACTTCAGATTTGGAGTTTAAGTGGCTCTGAATAAAACACAGTTGTGTTTCCAATGGGTCTGTAAGCTCAGGAAAAACCTTTTTTTTTTCATGCAGTCAGTTTCCTGTGTATGCATGTTTTCATGCTGCGTAGTCTGAAAAGAACATCTTTTTAATTAAAATTCCACTGGAGAACAGTTCATTCAAAGGCTGCAACTCTCAACAAGTCGTAGGGGACTGCAGGTTTTTCCGTCCCTGTTTAAGCTCTTTAGAAAATAAGGTTTTGAACAAGTAGTCGTCACAGGGCTCAAAGTTCAGAGGCTTCAAGTCAGCACTGGGGTTAGGGGCTTAAATTGGAAATGTGGTGTTTGTTATCTAAGTTCTTCTGCACAACTGCTTTCTGCAGCCTGTCAGTGCCTGTGCACAGACTGTAGAGTAACTAATATACAAACAGAGTGACATGGAAAGTGTGTGCAAAGCCACATCTTCCAAGGGTGTTAATTCTGGCACATCTGTTTTTTCAGGAGAGGATGAGTGGCGTGCTGAGCAGCGTGATGGCTCGGAAGTCTTGCTGCAGTGGAGTGCAGAGACCCGGGATATCTCTGTGATCTCGGACACCTACTTCCCCATGTATTTCGTTGCTCCAGGTAGGTCATTCCAGAAGTGTGGCTTTCTGTGCTGCTTGTGCCCCTTTACGTTCCATCCCCTAACTGTAAGGGATTTCTTATCCTTTCAGGCAAGTTCTTGGGCAACCAGGTTTTGAGTTACGGGCAAAACCTGACCTTCTCCTTCCGCGTGGACAGACGGGACACGCGGCTCTCCGCGGAGGACCTGGTGCTGGAAGGGGCCGGGCTGAGAGTGTCGGTGCCACTCATTGCCCAGGGCAACTCTTACCCCAGTGAGAGTGCACAGACCTACACCTTCAGGTACGGTGGGGGCAGCCAGGGCTGAGCTTGGGGTGCCCCTGGCCTCTGAGCTCTTGAGGAAACCAGGATCATTAATTTTAGCTCGGAGGAGGGTTCTTATCAGGTTGATTTTCACTCGCTGTCTGGCAGCGTTGTGTAAGCACATGCAGATGATGTTGCAACAGCATTCCGCCTTTGGAAAGGGGGCTTTGAAAGGGTGCAGCTGTTAACATCCGAAAGCTGTGCTGATGATGCATGGCCCTTCTCCCTAGGCTCCACGAGGCTACAGATTACCCATGGAGGCCTGCTCTAACGGCATTTGAGTTCCAGAAGCTTCTCCACAACTTGACTTCCATCAAGATCCGTGGGACATACAGCGAGAGAAGTGAGTCGCTGAGCAGAACGCCGCAGAAGAGGGGAGGGGGCAGACTCATGGGTCTGCTGCTTGGGTTACTTCATTGTGGGGCTGTAAATAGCTGTGGTAGCTTATTTGGCAAAGCTTTGTGCCAATGGATTTTCACTTGGTCTTCCTGCGTAACAGCTTCTCCCAGGCCTCATGAAGAGGATATGGGGAAGGAAAGTTGCTGTCTTTGAGGGTCTGGAAGCTCAACACTCATCACCTCCTGATTCTTTGCTTCTAAACATGGGGATTGTGCTGTGTTGCATGGCCACTGTCTTCCAGATTGATAAAAATACATACTACAGAGACCTGAAGGACGTGGTAGGAGAGACGTAGGGAGTTTACAACACTTGTCCACAGTTTTTGCTACACTAGGAATGGTTACATCCACCCTGTTTCCAGGTCTTACCTTGACATGGCAGATGGGAAGGATGGGGTCTTGAAAGTGCTGCCAGTGCAGAACTTAAGTGAAAGCTCCTCATAATGCGGGTTTATTAGAAGTCAGACATTAATTAGGAGCAAAAATGTGTCCTTGGGTGGTGTTGAGTGTCAAAGAATTTTCAGAAAGATGCAAGGGGTGAATTTGCATTTGGAGAAGGCTGGAAAGCTGCAAATGTTTTCAGTAGAGGTGGCTTGTAAAGAGGAATGTGGAGTTGTGAAATGGAGGGGAGGAAAGGTGTGGAGCAAACCATCCTGAGTGCTGTAGCCACTGCTAATATGAGGGAGCTGAGGCTCCCTCAGTGCACTGGAGTTGCTGCAGTGGTACAAACACAGTGGTATAAGTTAAAAGCCAGCTATGTTGTGTCTGGGCTCTGTTTTGCCCCAGGGAAAGGGCTGGGAGAAGAGGGGGGAAGCACTGAAATGCCAGCGGAAGGAATGGCTAGAGAGGAATAGCTGAAGAGTTTGCCCCGAGGCACGGTTTGCAGACAGTGTATTAAAATTGCTGGAGAGGTGGTCTGTCCTGTCTTGAAAGACAGGAATTGGTTCTCGTATTTGATGTGGAAATGTAACCCATACCCATGTAAAATATAACTGAAACTGACTGTTCTCACTCACCTGCTCTTCTCAGCATCCTTCTCTGTTATTCTCATCTTTCCTGCTCTGCACGTGCCTTTCATGAGCTCTGATGAAGCTTTTCTTATATGTCTAAATCTTCCTGGAGGATTTTGCTTCTTGATTCCCCTCACCACCTGCGAGCACCCACCTGTCTATCCTTTGTACCATTCAGAGTGTTTTGGGAAGTGATTACAAAGAGTTTCCCCCTCGGTGCTTTCTAGGTGCCGGTCACCTGGACGACGTCACCATCACAAGCGCTCGCCCTGGACCTGGCGTGCCCGTGGCCTGGGTGGAGAGCTGCTCCTGCCCCGTGGGATACGAGGGGCAGTTCTGTGAGCGCTGCACCTCCGGGCACCGGCGAGAGACCCCGAGCCTGGGGCCCTACAGCCCCTGCGTGCCCTGCACGTGCAACGGGCACAGCGAGACGTGCGATCCCGAGACAGGTGAGAGGGCCGGCGAAACGGGGAGGGTGATTCTTCCTTTCTAGGTTGGACAAGGAAGCAAAACCCATGTCCCTCTCTATTCCAGGCGTGTGCAATTGCAGGGATAACACGGCGGGGTCTCACTGTGAGAAGTGCAGTGACGGGTATTACGGCGATGCGACGGCGGGCACAGCCGCGGACTGCCGGCCCTGCCCCTGCCCGGGCAGCTCCAGCTGTGCCATCGTGCCCCGCACCAAGGAGGTTGTGTGCACCAGCTGCCAGGCTGGCACTACAGGTGTGTTCCTACGCAAAAAGTCATCTTCTACATCCACGTGCTTGTGGAAACGTGTCTCCTGCCAGTTCTGGGAGTCTGATCCACAATGTGAAAGCTGCTGTGTCTTCTGATTCCAATCCTTCTCCCTTCCTCAGCCCTGTTTTCTGTCCTGTGTGAGGCTCAGGGCTTCCCATGTTCCTTGTGCTTGTCTCTCGAGAACAAGAGAGCAACAAAGGCTTGATCTGTGCAAAGTCTGACCATTTCTATGCTATGTAGGTGAGCCATGCTGGCTTCTAATAGAACTCTGGTAATTGTATGGTGTTGGGCAGAAAATAGATTTAAAGGAGCCAGGGAGGTGGGTCAGACTGAAATAAAAATAGAAGATGCAGTTTGCCAGTCAGGGAGGCACCACAGGATGCTTCCTAGGAAAAGCAGGAAGGCTGCAGTGACTCACAAACACTGCCCAAAAAAATATAAGATCAAACGAGTGCTCAGCAGTTTTAATGAGAAATATATGAACGGATAGAGATCTTTTTTTCAAAGCAATAAGCTGTGAAGTCCAAGCATGCAGCTGAGTTGTTAAGCAGTTGTTTTGTTCTGCCTGCAAACAACCTTAGGATGGCTGGCAGCCTCCTCCCTGCTTCTCTGCTGATTTTATGCTTGGCATAGCAGAGTCCAAAGTACAGAATACCTGTAAATGCTTGACATGCTTAGAAAACCCCTGACCAAGCAGCTCATGGAGGTTCCCATGGGTGCCACTGCATCGTGAACCAAAGAGGAGTCCAGGGGCCCAGGTTCCTGCAGCTCAGGTGTGTCTGTACAAGCTCGTATTTACTTGTAACTGTGTGCACAGGAGCTCCACCTGTGTCATGCCACCTTTCTGGGATGTGAGGGAAAAGAGGGTTTGTATGCAAGAACTGCCTAACAAACGGAATTTATAGCTGGCTGGGGAGGTCAGATCTGCAGTAAGTGTAGGGAGCTGCTGAGTTGGATGCTTCAGTGGCTGCCCGTGGAGGTTTGGCACATCTCTGGCAGTGGAGCTTCCTGGAGCAGTGATGCCCCATGGAGCTCTACCTGTTTGGAACTCTTAAATTTACAACAAATTACAGCACATAGGTTTGGCTTAAATGGATATTAGGAAGAAATTTTTTACACAGAGAGTGATCAGACATTGGAATGGGCTGCCCGGGGAGGTGGTGGATTCACCGTCCCTGGAGGTTTTTAAGATGAGACTGGATGTGGCATCAGTGCCATGGTCTGGGAACCACAGTGGGGTTGGATCAAGATTGGACTTGATCAGAGGTCTTTTCCAACCCGGTTGATTCTATGATAGGAGGGAAAGGAGGAGTGGAAATGATTCATAATGCAAAGTTCCAGTGAAAAAGCATCTTGAATTTAGACATGGGGAGGGATTTGTGTCTGACCCCAATAGGAGGATGAAAGTGCAGGAAGCTGGAAAGTTTTGTTTTCAGAAGGGACTGCAAAGGACATCCTGTGTGAGGTGGCAGCAAAGGGCTTTCTGCTGCAGCACCTGAGTGTGTGTTGTGTCCCAGGCAAGAGGTGCGAGCTGTGTGACGACGCCTATTTTGGGGACCCGCTGGGCGAGAACGGCGCTGTGAGGCCCTGCCGCCTGTGCCAGTGCAACGACAACATCGATCCCAACGCCGTGGGGAACTGCGACCGCCAGACCGGGGAGTGCCTCAAGTGCATCCACAACACCGCCGGCTTCTACTGCGACCGCTGCAAGGACGGCTTCTTCGGGAACCCGCTGGCCCCCGACCCCGCCGACAAGTGCAGAGGTCAGAGCTGGTTCCTCGTGCGTTTTACGATGGTTTTGTCCCCAGAGAGATGCTGTTAGGACACAACGTCAGGCTGTTGCTTGTGCCCGTCAGCAGCGATGTGTGATAGTGGTTTGATGGTTCAAACTTGTTAAAATCTTTGTATTTTTGGGCACTTACTGCCACTGAGGCAAAAGCACTGTGCGATGCAGACTGCTGGCTGTGGTTTGGATCCCGGCCTGTTTAGGGACCGGTGAGTACCAACACCACAAGGGACTTCTAACTTGGTGCGTGTTTCTCCATCCTTTCTATTTTTGCAGCTTGTCACTGCAATCCCTATGGCACTGTGAATCAGCAGACGAGCTGCAATCAAGTGACTGGGCAGTGCGAGTGCCTGTCCCACGTCACCGGGAGGGACTGCAGTGCCTGTGAGCCTGGATTCTTCAACCTCCAGAGCGGACGTGGCTGTGAGAGGTGATGTTTACCTTGGCTTGGGGCAAAGAGCCTGGTTTTGGAAGATCAGGGCTTACCTTGGGCATGAATGTGATGTTTGTCACAAGTAAATGCTGTGCCTCGATGCTGCTGCAGGTGGGGAAGAGCAGCGGTCAAGGAGTGGCTATTAACGCTGTGCAAAAAGCCTGACTTATAAATAGCTTTATAAAGAGCTCTAAATCAAGGTTTTAAATAGAAAACTGCCACATGACTGTGTGATTGTAGCAGGAGCTCATGGGTTCCTTTTTTAGTGCAGGCAGCAAGTGACCTTGCACAGTTCAAAGGCTCAGTGCCTCGCCTGCTGTAGCTGCACAGCAAGAAAAGCAACTTTGGGCAAAGGCAAACATTGCGCTGCGCCCTTCAGGGAGGCACTTCACCCCCGTGTGCCTTCTGTGCCATGTCTGATGTGTGTCTGCCTCTCCCAGGTGCAACTGCCACGCGCTGGGCTCGACCAACGGGCAGTGTGACATCCGGAGCGGGCAGTGCGAGTGCCAGCCGGGCGTCGCCGGCCAGCACTGCGACCGCTGCGAGGGCAACCACTTCGGCTTTGGCTCCGAGGGCTGCAAACGTGAGTCTGAGAGGCCAGAGCGAGGCAGATGGGAAGGGTGTTGCACACGCAGCCTTCCCGTTGCTTTCGTCCTGTCCCTGGGAAGGTCCTTTCTCACCGCGCTCTTCATCACAGAAGTTGGTGCTTTTATGTGGGCACTCTGCATGGTGAAATTTGATCTCCGTGCTACAGACTTGGATAACTTTCCCTTATCCAACTTATTAGATATCCACCACACTTATTAGATATCCACCTTACTTATGAGATATCCAACCTTCTTGTTAGATATCCACCTTACTTATGAGATATCCACCTTACTTATGAGACACCCACCACACTTGTGAGACACCCAACCACACTTGTGAGACACCCAACCAC